CGGAGACGGCGGCAGCCCACGGAGGGACAGTGCCACCGGCAAACCGGGACGGGAGCAGATCCTGGCCTGGGAAGGAAGCAGAGGACAGAGCAGAGCAAGAGGTTGAGCCAAACCCCACCCAAAGCACAGCGCTCCGACTTCATCCCGTGATGGCAGAACAGAGCAAAAACCCCAACTCTCTGGATTGCGTGTGTGGTGACCCGGAGGGGAAGCTTCAGAGCGGCGTCCAGAAAACCCCGTGCCCCTCTGAAGAAGCGGGGCTTCACCTTGGCGATGGGAAACAGACGATCCAGGCTCTGGACGAGGTCATTTTGAAAGACCACTGTTACTCGGCCAGGAGCAAGAGCCAGCCGTGGAGCAGCGCTCTCCTCCTGCACGTGCTGCGAGAGCACGACTACGTGCGCATCGGCAGGGACGTGGCCGCGGCGCTGCGAGACCACGAGTACTGCCAGGCACAGAGGAGCGGCGGCGGGGCCCCCGCGGGCGGCGCGCGGGCCGGCCGAGGGGCCCGTAAGTCTCGCGCCGCGACTCGCAGGCTGCTCAAGCGAAAAGCCCCCTTCCACATGCAGCAGCTCATCAGGAAGGCCAAGCGGATCCTGTGGCGTTACAAGCGTTTTGTCAGCAAGAGGCTGCGCTTTCGTCGCGGCGCCGCGAACACGGCGGCTGAGCCCCTCGGGACAGAAGTTGTGTCTCCCGCTGGGGCAGAACGCAGCCCCGCGGAGGGGCTTTGCGGGGCGCTTCGCCCTCCTGTGCAGCAGCAGACTGTCCCCGCCGAGGCGCAGAGTGGAGGCAGCGCCCGGGAGAGCGCCCTGGGCGCCCGGCACGGCCCGGCCGCGCTGCCGGAGCCGGGCTTGGCCGCCGCGCGCAGAGAGCAGGCGGCGCGCCCCGTGCTGCGCGTGGAGCACGTGCTGCGGCGCGCGAGCCCCGCGCGCAGCCCGGCCGCCAAGCTCCTGCCGGGCGCCCTGCACGAGGCGTACAGCACGGTGCTGCGCACCGTGGATCGCATGCTGGAGTGCGTGTGCCAGGCCTTCGAGCTCGGCGGCTACGGCCACGCCAAGGACGCCTGGCCCCTCATCATTCAGATAGACAGTTGATGGCCAAGAAGAAGGTTTGGCTGCTCTGGATGCCCTCCGAGGGGTCAGTTAGGCCTTGCCCTGCGGCAAAACCTCCTGAAGGGTTTTAAGGAAATGGTGTCCGATTGGTGTCCGAAGAGGCAGCAGGCTCAGCCTGCTGGTCACAAGGTCATCGCGGGGAGATGCTCAGGAGCAAAGGGCGACCGGCGACAGGAGGGAGCAACACGGATAGAAGAGGAAAACGTGTCGGGGAGAAGCGGGGATAAAGGGCGGCCGCGGGTCGGGACGCTCTTCCAGCCACGCTCGTCCTGATCACCGGGGTCGTTTTTCCGTCTCCTCCTTGAACTCTCTGCACAGTTTCCTCCCGCACGAGCGTGCTCTCGAGCCCGTCCGCGTGCGAGACAAGCGAGCGAGCTGAGGAGCAGCTGCGGCTGCGACGCGCCCCGTTGGGGAAGGGTCCCCGGGGTGCTCCGGGGCGCCGTGCGCCGCCCTCCATGACACTCAGCTCCGCGCCGGTGCAGCCAGCACTCTGGATGCGCCCCCACTACTTATTTATTCAGGATGAAGGAAGGTTTTAGAATGCATTAATGCTCTGCTATAATAGTAAATTGATTTTCTTTTTTTTTAACTTGGGTTTGTTTTCTTTTGGACGGATTTTCCAGCTATTGTTGTTGTAAAACTGAAAAAAAAAAAGAAAAAAATGAAAAAAAAAATTGAACCCAAAATCATGACCCCTCCACCCTTCACTTTCCAAAAGGATCCCCAAAAAGCAGCCCTAGTTAGTACTAACATGAGTACTACCACATTAGTAGTACCACGTTACATGGCATTAAGGCTGCAAATAGATGTCTGGGGTCCTGCCTAGGCCCAGGCCTAAGGCAAAGCTCCCTAAACGGAACGTGAGAAACTGCCAGCAGTGACATGGGAAGTTGCTGGACGTGGGAGATGCCCAGGAGGGAAGGGGTGGAAGTTAAAGAACATCTTGTGAAGGGTGGCTGGATTTCAAAGGTGGTTATTGGGGAGAAATGGGGAAAATCACTAAATTTGACCTGTAATTGTAATGTGGGAGGTGGTCTTTGTGCCCTTTGGAGAGGGGAGCCTTGCCAGACCGGTAGTACCTAGGGAAGCGCAGCACTAATTTCATACAAGGTCAAGTTATTCAGGGGCCAAGTAGCCAAAAAAAGCCAAATTTGGATCTGAATGTAGCAAAACTCGATCCAGTGGGGGAAAAAGTAAGGGTGGGATATCTATTTGTGAGAGGAGGACGAAGGAGAAGAAGCTAGAACAAGAAAATAGAATAATTAAATGAACAGAGACTAATTAAAGAGAGGAAAAGCAGAAGAAGGTGATGAGGACTGTTCGGGAGTCTGTCAGACACAGCTGGTAGTAGGTCAATAAATCCACATTTTCCCTGTGGTTGTGTCTGACTTGATGTCATCAGAAGGAATGGGGGGATCTTCCCTGGTGCTGGGAACAGAAGCTTGGGAGTTATCACCGACACCGATAAGGGAATGCTTGAAATGGCACCTGGGAAGCCCTGGAGATGGCACCTAGCAGCACAAGCTCTTCCCAGGCTCCCTTCGCAGGTGTCCTCTGCTTTGGTGGTCTCAGGGTAGAGGAGCTGCACGGCAAGCAGGGAGTTGGGGCACAATCGGGTCATGCTATGAGTCACTCTCCTGTCTGAGGACCAGAAGGAGCCCTTCCTGTTGAAAGATGAGTGTTAGCGTGAAGTTTGCCACAAGTGACACCGTCACGGTTTAGCAGGATGGTGTTGAGGGGCTTCCACTTGGACCTGATGATCTCAAAGGTCTTTTCCAACCATGATGATTCTATGATTCCATGTGATTCTGTGTCCGCAGATGTAAACACTGTTACCAGCTCTGCCTGTCATGGAATCATGATGGTTGCAAAAGACCTTGGAGATCATCAAGCCCGACTGCAAACCCATCCCCACCGCCTGCTCAGCCATGTCCCTAAGCGCCTCATCCACACGTTCCTGGGACACTGAAAGGGACGGCGACTCCACCACTTCCCCGGGCAGCCCGTTCCAATGCTTGACCACTCTTTCCATGTCGAAACTCATCCTGATATCCAACCCCAACCTCTCCCGGTGCAACCTGAGGCCATTTCCTCTCGTTCGATCCATAGTTGATCTAGAGAAGGGTCGACTCCACCTCAGCACAACCTCCTTGCAGGTAGTTGTAGAGGGTGACAAGGGCTCCCCGGAGCCTCCTGCTCTCCACACCAAGCCACCCCAGGCCACTCAGTGGCTCCCATCAGGTCTCTGCTCCAGCCCCTTCCCCAGCTCCGTTGCCCTCCTTTGGAGGCCGCCCAACCGCAGTCCCTGTGGGGCTCGCAGGGACACGGACGCGCCAAGCCCGGCTCCGCAGCGAGCAGCAGCACGGGCTGGAGAAGGGCTGCAAGGCAGAGCCCAAGGCAGCGCCCATGGGCCTCATTTGGCTCTCAATTCACAAGGCCCCAGGGCACCCAAGGGTGCAACAGCACCTCCATGGGCGCAGGGGGAAGGCGTCCGCAGACACGAGCATGAGCCCCGCAAGATGGAGGTTATTCCCCCCGTTTTTCCAAGACACCAAATTCCCAAAAAAACAAACATTAAAAAAAACCCAAAATGGTGGCACGGCCAGCTCGGGTCACGTGACCACGGGCGGCACAAGATGGCGCCGCGCCGCTTCCCGGTCACACGGAGGCCGGAAGGGCCGGAAGGGCCGGAGCCGCCCTGCCCGGCGCCCACCCGGCCCGGCCCGTTACCCATGGCAACAAACACCTGATTCCCAATACCTACGTAAATGTAAAATAAATAGATTCTACGTAAATAAATACGTAAATATATAAATAAATATATAAATAAATATATAAATAAATATGTAAATAAATATATTTATATAAATAAATGTATTTAAATTATATAAATAAATGTGTTTAAATTTATATAAATAAATATGTTTTATTTATCCAGCCCGCGCCCGTCGCGACGCCCGTCCCGGTGGGAGCGATGCCGGCCGGAGCGCCGGCGGCTCCGGGAAGGGGCTGGGATGGGCAGGGGGGAGGGAGGACGGCAGCGCCGCGGCCACGGGTCGAGGCTCCCGACGCCGGTGCCATGACCCCAGTGCAGCCCCGGCCCGCGGAGGGGGGTCCGTGACCCCAGTGCAGCTCCCGGAGGGGGGTCCATGACCCAAATGCAGCCCCCTCCAGCACAGGGGGGTCCATGACCCCAATGTAGCTCCCGGAGGGGGGTCCATGACCCAAATACAGCTCCTGGTCCAGCGCAGGGGGCTCTGTGACCCCAATGCAGCACCTGGAGGGTGGTCCGTGACCCGAATGCAGCCCTTGGGCAGCACAGGGGGGTCCGTGACCCGAATGCAGCCCTTGTCCAGGGGAGGGGGATCCGTGACCCCAATGCAGCCCTTGGGCAGCACAGGGGGGTCCGTGACCCCAGAACAGCCCTTTTCCAGGGGAGGAGGCTCCGTGACCCCAGTGCAGCTCCTGGAGGGGGGTCCATGACCCAAATGCAGCCCTTGTCCAGGGGAGGGGGGTCCGTGACCCGAATGCAGCCCTTGGGCAGCGGAGGGGGGTCCGTGACCCCAATGCAGCCCTTGTCCAGGCTCTGTGACCCCAGTGAAGCCCCCAACAGCACAGGGGGGTGCAGGGACAGGCAGCCCCGCGGAGCCGCCGGCGCCGCTGGCCAGGGTGCCGGGCAGGACGAGGAGGGCGAGCGGAGCGGCGCTCGTCCCCGCGCCCGGACCCGCGGGCGTCACCCCCGCGCGGCCCGTCCCGTATCGACCGTCCCTGCGGCGCGCTGACCTCGCGCGGCCAAGGTCCAGGCGGCAGCGCCATGCGCCCACGGCTGCTCTGCGCCCTGCTCGTCGCCCTGCTCGCCGCGGCCGCCGCCGGGCAAGGGCGCCGCGGGAAGGGCCGAGCCGACAGTCGGGAGGAAGAGGTGGGCACGGGGGGACACGGCGAGGGGGCGGTGAAGACGGCGGGGACATGGGAGAGGGGGCGGCAGGCACGGTGGGGAAACGGGCGAGGGGGCGGTGGGCACAGGGCGACACGGGTGAGGAGGTCATGAGCATGGGGGGACACAGGAGAGGGGGCGGTGGGAACGGCAGGGACATGGGTGAGGGGGCGGTGGGCACGGTGAGGACACGGCGAGGGGGCAGTGGGCACGAGGGGCTCACAGCGAGACACCCGTGGCCGGTGCTGCCCGCGCGGCCGGCGGCTCCGTGGGGTGCCCGTGGTTCCGCTCCGCACCGGACCCTGCAGCGCAGTCAGGACCCCTCGGTGCCACCGGGACCCCTCAGCCCGGCCGGGATCCCGCGGTGTGGCCGGGACCCCTCACCCTGGCCAGGACCCCTCAGCCTGGCCGGGACCCCATGACCCGTCCGGACCCCGCGGCGCGGCCGGGACCCGCAGCTCTCCTCCCGCAGGTGGGCAGCGGCGGCCTGGGCAAGCGGCGCCCCTACAGACCCTGCTCCGGGTGCTTCTCGGTGCTGAGTGAGGTGAGGCGCGGGCTGGGGGCCGTGGGCACCGTGGGCACACGCGCAATGGGGCACCGGCACGGCTTGCAAGCCAAGGCGGCACCTCCTCTGGGGCTGGCCCTGTCCGTGGGGACGCGCTGGGTGTCCGTGTCACCCGTGGTGCTCCGCGGTGTCCCCGGTTCTCCCTTTCTGCAGGAGTCAAACGCTCCGGCCCGGAGCACTGGAGAGCTCGAGGAGGTTCAGCAACACCCATGGGTGCGTGCAGGGGTGGAACGGGGTCCCGCCAGTGTGCGGCCTCCGCGGGGCTCCGCACCGGCCCCTTGCCCATCGCCACGGCCCGGTTCTGCCCGCAGCCCCCCAGGAGGAGCCACGGCAGGAGCGGCCGCGCGGCGCCCACGGCGCAGCCCCGCGAGCCCCATGTCCCGCGTGGGGCACCCCCGGTGAGAGCGGCCCCCGGTGTCCCCCCAACCCAACCCGTCCCCTCCCGCGCCCCCGGGGCAGCGCAGGGAGGGGACGGGGGCAGCCCGGGAAGCGGCGGCCTCGCAGCTCCGCCGCCGTGGGGAGGGTAAATCCGGGCACAGGGAGGGTCACGGCAGGACCCCCCCAAGGACACCCCTGTGCCAGGACACCCCCTGGAGCTGCGTGGCCGGGGGATGCGGTGGGACGGGGCCACCCCGCTCTGTGTCTTGCAGGTGGCACTGAGGGGCACTGGGGCGCAGCGGGCAGGGTGACAACCCCGGAGTGAGTGACCTGGGCCAGGCACAGGGCGCACGACACCGGGACCGGCCCAGCAGGACGGAAACGGCCCCCGTGCCGCGCGCCGCGGCTGCCCCCGCCCCAGCCCTGCAATAAACCTGAGCAGCTGCTGCAAGGGGGTGTCCGGGGGGCGGCACGGGGCCTGAGCGCCGGGGGACAAAGTCGGGGCCGTGCGGGTGTCCCAGGCCCTGCTGCTGCGGGCCTCGCTCCCCCATCACAGGGTGGGTTGCTGAGCAGTGTGAGCTTGGCCCCTGCACCCGGGTTTGGCCCCTGCACCCGGGTTTGGCTCCTGCACCCTGGGTTTGGCTCCTGCACCCTGGGTTTGGCTCCTGCACCCGGGTTTGACTCCTGCACCCGGGTTTGGCTCCTGCACCCTGGGTTTGGCCCCTGCACCCGGGTTTGGCTCCTGCACCCGGGTTTGGCTCCTGCACCCGGGTTTAGCTCCTGCACCCTGGGTTTAGCTCCTGCACCCGGGTTTGGCTCCTGCACCCTGGGTTTGGCTCCTGCACCCGGGTTTGGCTCCTGCACCCGGGTTTG